GGCATTCCACAATGCACAGAGATTGCAAGGTGCAAGGTATTACCTCACCCACCTTCTCTGTCTAGAGATTGCAAGGCATTTTAAATCATTTCCTCAACACTGGTAATGCTGTGTGTCCAAACCAATTATTGAAAAAGTTTATTTTGCAGTGCACTCTGCTGATCTACAGGTGTTTATAAATGAGAATTTCAATCCAAGTGTGCTCTATGTTAGCATGCACATTGTAAGGCAAAGCAGCTCTCTCAGGGCTGTCCATATAGCTAGTGTTTCCCTTCTTCTCCGGCACTAGCTAAAAGGCACCATCCTGGCAAACAGAGGTGCAGCTTATTTTCCCAGTTTGCCCATTGTCTTTTTTAACAATATCGTTCTATGTCTTCTGGGGACTCACCTCAGGGTAACATCCTCCAATGTAAGGACAGCCTGCAGGAGTGAACGTGCAATTACTAACCTGCCCCTCACTGTCTTCCACCCATTCACCCCACAACTCCCCACCCACCTAGCTTCGGAATAGGGGGCATATACAAGAGGGAAGTAACCTGGAAAACGATGGAGGAGATCTCAAAGCAAACCCCAGAGTGGGAAAAGAAGATGGGAAGGACATTCCAAAACAGTGGGAACAATAACATTTTATCAGCAGCAGCATGGAGACTAGCATTGGGACAATAAGTACTTCTCCTTTTTCAGATTTCCCTCAACACCTGTAAGACCATGACCTGGCCATACAAGGGCCTTATCTGCTAAAATGAGGATGATCTTCCAGTTACCAACAGCCTTCTACTGAAAGAAGCAGGGAGCTCAGCTGCTTGCGTGGTGTCAGGATGGTCCTGTGAGTAAGGTAATGACTGGGATTCAGAGGACCTAGGTTCTAATCCTGTGCAGTATAAATATGAAATTAAAGAATTAGAGTTTGATTAAGGACATATGTGTGTTGTAAAGAAAGGCCCTGACTAGCAAGTACAAGGAAAGCCTTAAAAATAATATGTTACAAGGCCAGAAGTAATAAAGTAGGGAGGATGTCTGGTTGAAAGACTAACTAATGAGGAAGGTTAACATTTTGTCACAATTACTTTTAGTAAAAGTCTGGGATAGGTCACAGGAAACAAACAAAAATTCACAGAAGCCCATGACCTGTCCCTGACTTTCACTAAAAATAACTGTGACAAAATGGGGCTGACAGTGGGATGAAAGCCTGAGCCCTGCTGCAATTGATAGTTCCAGCCCCACCACACTGGGGCTGAAGCAGAAAATGTTTCAGAAGTCTCTGGAAGTCATGGAATCCATGACATCATCTTAGCTTTACTAATGAGATAAGGGGAAGTTTCTAAAAAGAAGGCCTCTGACCCATAGGGGTGACTGGAGATGGCTCATTTGAAAACAGATTCTTTTTGTTTTATTTAAAACCAACATGGCCCATCCCAACCTGTACACCTGTGTTAAAATCTATGTGAACCCAAGTGCAATGAAAAAACTATTGAGCAGCAAGGAAGAGGAGAGGAAAGGCCTTGGGAAGAAAGGCGGTTGTAAAGATTATCTGGATTAAGACTAGAAATAAGGGTGAACTGTCTCAAACAGGCTATCACCTGAAGTCAGTAATTGGCAATGACATCACTTGTTTGTTAAAGGGCATAAGAAAGAAAACTCTTAGAGGGTTTACTGCTAATACCTGCATCACCGCAGTGGAGCCAACCAATATGGGTCTAATCACTAGGGCTATGATTATGTCACAGAAGTCACGGAATATGTGACTTCCAGAGACCTCTCTGACATTTTCTGCCCCAGGGCTGGACTGCTGTCAGCAGGCAGCCCTGCAGCTCTCAGCTGCTGCTGGTGGAGGACCCCAACAGCTCCTGGCTGCTGGGCAGCAGGAGGACCCCGGAGCTCCCTCAGGGTCCCCTAGAGCTCCCACTCACTGCAGATGGCTGAGATCCCCACAGCTGCTCAGCCACGGCGGTTGGCAGGAGCCTCCCACCCCCACCCCAGCAGCCCAACCGCAGCAGGGGGACCCCGCAGCAGCCCAGCCCAGGGGGACGGCAGGCGGACCCCCTGCAGCTGCCCACCCACCAGGGTGGGGATTGGGCCCCGCAGCAGCACAGCCACTGTGGGTGCTGGACCCTTATGTCAGGGATATTTTTAGTAAAAATCATGGACCGGTCACAGGCTTCTGTGAATTTTTATTTATTGCCTGTGACCGGTCCGTGATTTTTACTAAAAATATCCATGACAAAATCTAAGCCTTACTAATAACCCCTGGGTTTAACCTGTTTGTAAGTATCTTGATCAAATGCTTATAAATGTTTTGTTACTGTTTAGGTGTAGTAAACTGCTTATTATTTAGGTTTTTTAGCCACGGTTAGAGCAATTGTATTGGCCTTTGGATTTAATAAAGGTATCAAAGCCATGCTAACTCATCCATACTGCACTACGCAGACCTTTCGATTTTGATCTGCAGTTTGACTTGCATCCACACTGCAAAATGACAAGGCTTGGATCTGAGATACAGCAGGTCTCGCGCTCTGACTCCCCCAGCAGGATCCTGGAACCCCAAGACCAGAGTGCTTGCTGATCCAAGTCAGACTGAGTTGTTGTGGACAGAAGGGGGGGGTTGGGCTCAAACCTGATCAGAGCCTGGACTCAACATGCCATGTAGATATACCTTAAGTGTTTGTACAGTACCTAGCACAACGGGGTCCTGATCTTGGTTGGGGCCTCTAGGCATTACTTGAATATAAATAACCAACAAATTGTGCTGGGATCTCTGCATAGCTATCAATATCTAAACAGTGGGGTAACCGACAAATCACCAAATATACTTGGCTTCCAACTACTGGAGATTTTGTTCGGATTCTAGTGAATTTCAGCACTTACAGATTGCATTACAAGTAAATTAATTATCACAACCCTCCCAAGAGAAGATAGGTAAATACTATCTTTTTAAGTCAAACCCCTTAACATCACTGTAAGGGGAGGGCTTAACCAAATTTCCTTATTTAAATTTAGAAAAGAAAAAAATACACGTAAACACTTAAAATTTATTTGACATTTCCCTAGAATTTAGCCACTACTATATGATAGAGTTCAAACGCTCCCCCAGGACCTATATGTTCCTGGTGTAGCCAGAACTCCCATGGAAATCAAGGAGTGCATGCTCAGATTCAGCTCAACAAAGATATCCCATATTTTAAAATCAAAATGTTTTATTATGAACTTTGCCAAACAGACCAAACCAAAGGATGTTTGGCTGCCCTGATGTCCATTTTTTTAGACTTTTTTCTAAGCAAAAATGTATTTCATTATACAGATGCTGTCAACTTAAAAAACAAAACACACTTTTGTCTGAATAACTTTACCAGTTATTAGCAGTAACACCCTAAGTCACTAGGTCCAAGGAGAGAATACTTCAATGCTTCACAATGATACTGAAACAATAAAGGACAGCACTGTGTCAGCACATCTGTTGTCCCTGGGAGTCATTCACACAACGGAGAAGAGAACTACGTTAAAAAACACACATAAATAAATCCAGGAAGATGTGGCTGCAAAAGAAAGAAAGGCAAAAAGTAGTGACTGAAGTTTGGTCTACATTAGCAACAATTAGTGTGCTCTTGTTGCCAAGAAGGCTAACGGCATTTTGGGCTGTATAAGTAGGGGCACTGCCAGCAGATCGAGGAACGTGATCATTCCCCTTTATTCGACATTGGTGAGGCCTCATCTGGAGTACTGTGTCCAGTTTTGGGCCCCACACTACAAGAAGGATGTGGAAATATTGGAAAGAGTCCAGCGGAGGGCAACAAAAATGATTAGGGGTCTGGAGCACATGACTTCTGAGGAGAGGCTGAGGGAACTGGGATTGTTTAGTCTCCAGAAGAGAAGAATGAGGGGGGATTTGATAGCTGCTTTCAACTACCTGAAAGGGGGTTCCAAAGAGGATGGAGCTCGGCTGTTCTCAATGGTGGCAGATGACAGAACAAGGAGCAATGGTCTCAAGTTGCAGTGGGGGAGGTCTAGGTTGGATATTAGGAAACACTGTTTCACTAGGAGGGTGATGAAGCACTGGAATGCGTTACCTAGGGAGGTGGTGGAATCTCCTTCCTTGGAGGTTTTTAAGGCCCGGCTTGACAAAGCCCTGGCTGGGATGATTTAGTTGGGAACTGGTCCTGCTTTGAGCAGGGGGTTGGACTAGATGACCTCCTGAGGTCCCTTCCAACCCTGATATTCTATGATTCAATATGTTGGTACAACTATGGTGAAAAATCTACACCCCTGAGCGACGCAGTTATGCCGACCTAATCCCTGGTGTAGGCAGTGCTATGGCAACAGGAGGGCTTGTCCTGGCTCCCGCCTCTCAGGGAGGTGGAGTACCTCTCTCGTCAGCAGGTATTGTCTTCACTGAAGCGCCACAGCTCCCCTGCTGTGGCATTTTAAGTATAGACAACCCCCGAGAGCAGGAGTGCCCATTGGATACTATGACCATAGCACTGCCAACCGCAAGCAGACAAGTCCCCGTTCACCCCCAAAAGTCATGAGAGAGTTTTTAAGCCGATGAGATTTGATACAGCCCTAGGGCCTGGGTTTTGCGTAGCTGCCTTTCGGTGCACATTTTCCAGCTTCTCTTCACAATCCCAACCCGAGGCTGGGCGGGGAGGCGCCAGGCGAGTCTAACGAAGCTCATGGCTCCACAAACTGGGGCTTCAGAGGAACACACCCGAAGACAGTAGCCCCGGCTCGCGCCCCGCTCGCCAACCTCCGAAGAGCCGCACTTGAGACAGACGCTGACCCGTCCTCAGCGCCAGCGGCCGGGGGAATAAAGAACCGGCGCCTCCGTTCCCGGCTCGCCCAGCACCTGCCGCACCGCGCTGCCCACCCGCGGTAGGCCTGGCCCCGCCGCTCAGGAATCATGGCTGAGCCCGAGGTCCCCCGACCAGGCTGCTAGGGGCCGGCCGCAGCGCGAGCCAGCTGGGCGCGTGACCCGCCACAGGGCCAGGCGCCCCGGCAGCGCTTACCCGCTCCGGCCCTACGGCCTCCTGCGGCGGAGCGCGGCCCCGGCGCTCGCCCATGGCGCGCGGCGGCCAAGCGGGGCTGCGCCACGGGCCGGAGGGACACGCTCGACCGGCGCTGCGGAGCCGCTGGAACGTTACAAACGGCGCGGCTGGTCTGTTGGTACGGAGCATGCGCGTTCCGATTGCGCATGCTCAGTGAGCTCGGCTGAAGCCGCTGCCCTCGCCCGGGCGGGGAGTCTGTTCCCGGCTGTTCACGGGGGCGGAGCGGAGGCGCGAAGGGGCCTGAGGGGGCGGTGAAATATTTTACACCCCCTTCCCCCACCACACGTGACAAGGGCCTGCCCGGGTTTGCTGTTCCCAGGAGCCCCCTGCCAGGCCCATGGCTGCATGAGGCTCCTGCAGCGGGCAGGCGTGGCTCTGCGGGCTGCCCTGGGCCTGTCACACCCGCAAGGGGAGTTACTCCGCTCCGAGCACCGCAGCATTGACCTGCGTTAGCTGGGGGCAGCCTGCTATTTAGCTGACCTTGTCCTAGCCAGTAATCCTGCCTGTCTGAAGGGCCGCCAGTAGCTTCAGCAATCAGCTCTGACAGTGGTTCTCGGAGAGCTCCTGCTGTCTGCAGCCTGAGTTTCTCAGACACGTTTGTTCTTTGGGATCATGTGACAGCATGGCAGAATGGCTGCCTGGTTTGGTGTCAAAATTTCTCCAGCTTCCTTTGATTCACTCAGGGAGATTGCTTTCATCAGCTGTCATTTTGCCTCTTTCTCCAGCAGCCTAGTGCTTTTTCACATGTCACCATGTCTGTGTAGAACCTGCATCCCACGTGTTCACCAGAGGCCAGATTTTTAAAAGGGGTGTTGGTGTCATTAGGCATAACCCTAGGTAACTCGGGAGGGTGGAAGACCACGAGTGTCGACGAAGCCTTCCTGCTCTAGGCCTAAATGAACCAAAGCTCCTCCATGTTTGAACTTTAATCGACCTAACAAGCCAGCAACAGTAAATGGAATGTGTAACAGTCAGTTATCAGTTGCAACACCGCTCAAACCGGTATAAAGCGGTAGTAATAAGGCCTGCATGCTTCTGGCTGAAAGGCAAGATAACAGATCAAAGGGAAAAGGACAAGATAACGGTTCAAAGAAGAGTTACTAACGAGCTAGACTTATAGCCGCCAAGATGACTTAACTGCTTAAATGTAATTGCTACTGCTTAATGTAACTGCTATGGGGGAGGGGGGGGGGAGCTTAGTTACAGTAAAGTATAAAAAGAGAAAAATTGCTTATGTTGGTGTGCTTGATCTGAGACGTGCCAAGTCTCCTTGCACCACTTTGAGATCTCAAATAAACTTTGATTGCTTCTCCACCCTGGTGTGCTCATTGGCGCGATGCACACCGGGCAACGAACCCCACTGTTGCTTTCCTCGGGCACTCTGTGCCGGCAACAGGGGGAAAGTACCTAGTACAGTGGTTCTCAAACTTTTGTACTGGTGACCCCTTTCACACAGCAAGCCTCTAAGTGTGACCCCCCCCTCCATAAATTAAAAATACTTTTTTATATATTTAACACCATTATAAATGCTGGAGGCAAAGCAGGGTTTGGGGTGATGGCTGACAGCTCACGACCCCCCCATGTAATAACCTCATGACCCCTGAGGGGTCCCGACCCCCAGTTTGAGAACCCCTGACCTAGTAGATACTTTTGAAAATTAGTTGCCTAAATATCTTTAAAAATCTGGCCCTATACTATCTCGAATGAAATTCTTCTAAAAGGCAAATATCTACTGTATTTTTATAAAGCAACAAAGAGTCCTGTGGCACCTTATAGACTAACAGATGTATTGGAGCATAAACTTCCGTGGGTGAATACCCACTTCGTCAGACGCATGAAAGCTTATGCTCCAATACATCTGTTAGTCTATAAGGTGCCACAGGACTCTTTGTTGCTTTTTACAGATCCAGACTAACACGGCTACCCCTCTTGTATTTTTATAGTTATACAACATACAATATAGTTATACAACCATGAGATAGACTGACAACCACAAGTATTCAAAAATCATGAGTTATACACACAAAAGTTTGAAAGTGAAATACATATATGTGGGTTTCTCTTACTTTGCCATTCTGTTTCTAAGCCTTTAAAGCAGGGGTGGGCAAACTACAGCCCGCGAGCTCCCGCTGGGGAGCGTGGTCTGGGGCTTGCTCCAATCCAGCGCTCCAGCTGGGGAGTAGGGTCGGGGCCGTTCCATGCGGCACCCGGAAGCCACGGCATGACCCCGCTCCGGCACTCCAGCCGGGGTGCAGGGTCAGGGATGCTCCACACGGCTCCCGGAACCTGCGGCATGGCCCCACTCCAGCGCTCCAGCTGGGGCGCAGGCCACACCACACGGCTCCCAGAAGCCGCAGCATGGCCCCGTTCTAGCTCCTCCGTGCTCCAATTGCCCCTTCCAGCACTCCAATGGGAGCTGCAGGGGCAGTGCCTGAGGACGGGGCAGTGTGCACAGCTGCCTGGCCGTGCCTCCACATAGGAGCCGGAGAAGGGACATGCTGCTGCTTCCGGGAGCCACTTGACTGAAGCGCCACTCGGAGCCTGCACCCCTGAGCCTTTCCACATGCCCCAACCCCCTCCCCCAACCCTGATCCCCCCTCATGCCCTCCAACCCCTCAATCTCAGCCCAGAGCACCCTCCTGCACCCCAAACCTCTCATCCCTAGCCCCACCCCAGAGCCTGCAACCCTAGCTAGAGCCTGCACCCCTTCCTGCACCCCTACCCCCAGCCCAGGGCCCCCTCCTGCACCCTGAACTCCTCATTTCTGGCCCCACCCCAGAGCCTGCACCCCCAACCAGAGCCCACACCCCAACCCCAATTTTGTGAGCATTCATGACCCGCCATACAATTTCTATTCCCAGATGTGGCCCTCAGGCCAAAAAGTTTGCCCACCCCTGGTTTAGGGTACACTAGCTTCATATTTTTGCAGTCTCCTTTCCCAAAGAATCCATATATCTAAAACAGGTCTACATTTCTATAATATTCAATACCATTTTGGACTTCCAATAACATGCAATTCCCCCCTCCTTTTATAATTGAAAACTTATTAAAAATCCTTATGGCTGTAAATAATTCCCCATCCTGCAAGCACCAAAGTGCACTCTTTACTCTATTTGTTGCATATATAAAAGTTGATTTTTCTACTGAAGTGTGTATCCTTCTAATTGCATATTTTAATTTTGTAGCCTTTGTGTACTATATATTTGTTATGATACATTTCAGTGATGTTCTTTATTTTGACAAGTTTACTGTTCTGTCTTGCCAAAATCAAGGATTTTCTAAGATAAATTATCCTGTTACTCCTTTGCATTGGTTGCCTTTTGGAGAAACTAAAGTGCCTTTTCTCCACTATGTTTTTACAGGGAGATAGCTAATGCATCAGCTATCCCATGGTAAAAATACACATTTCTCAACCCTGAAGGAACAGACTATATTGCTGACTCAGATGTTAAATTAACCATTATGCATAGTTTGACAACTCTGATACTGACTGTGTGGCTAACACTGCTCCATCAGAGGCATTTCCATTTGGGCGAATGTCATGGAAAAACAGTTTAAAGCATTTTAACTTAAGGAATTAACAGAGGCTCCCTGCCAACCCTCCCATTTTTCCTTATTAAGGGCATTTCTAGATAGTGTGATACTTAAGGTACAAAGTTAATGCACATACCTCACAGCACCTTAAACCCCTATGTGTGGATGCTTTCATTCAAAAGTAAATTGGTGTTAGTTTTGACAACAGTAGTCAGGGCCCCATGGAAGATTTAATGAGTCCTTCCGCAAAACACTATTAATAAGCAGACCTTTGACCTGCCTTGAACATTTTTTTAAAGTTTGTATATATTCCACATCCATCATACCTTGCTACCCATGGACCAGAGGATGAGGAAGTTGAGAGGCAGCAAATTATGACTGTCACAATTTGCTGGCTGGGGGCTGGTGTAAGGCAGGGGCATTAAATTGTGACAGAACAGCAAAAAAGAACGCCTAGATGTCAGTACTTGTGACTGATAGCAAATTGTAACATTGTGTGTAATTCTGTCACTGCATGTGCAAGCTAAGCAATCAGCCTGTGCGCAAGAGGTGGGTGAGGTCTAAGACTGGGGAATGGTCTGTCCCCATTAAAGTAAAACTGAAAACTCCATCTGGAAAGAGCAAATGTTCTTTTAAAAGCTTTTCTTTGAATTACACCAGGTTTTGGGGAAGTTTGGAAATTGTAACAAATGATTAAAAATATTTTGCTCCTGTAACTAAGTGTGCACCACACATATATGCTGCTCCTATTAATCTGTCAAACCCCAATTTACACTGGAAAAAAAAACCAGGACCCCCTCCAACTAAAAAAGGGCCAAGAAAATAGAAAAATCATGTGCCAGACCCCAAAGCAACCTTTTCCCTTCCTACACACAAGAGCAATCTGACCTGGACTTGCAAGCATTCATGAGGAACAGCAGCCTTGTTATATGCAGAAACCAGAAAAAGCTACCAGTGTCCAAACTTCATGTAAAACCCAAATAGGTTTTTGGATTAAACAATAAAAGAGTTCTGAAAGGGCAAAATACTGAACACTTCACTCCACTGTTCTCTCTGGCACCTGGACCTGTAACCTTGGTGTTATTTGACTCATTTACCTTTTTCTCACTTCTGTATTCAGGTTGTTGCCAAATCCTGCCAGTTCTTTCTGGCCCATCCACACAAATTCAAACTGTGCACTTGCTAACCAATTGTGACATTCATGTGACCCATTTACAGCACGTACAGCTGAGCTGTGTCATAAGAGAACAAAGAGAGGTCAAGGACCATGCTCACCTATGTGTCTGTACAGCACCTAGCACAATATGGGTACTACTGCACATCCACACCTACCAGTGTTTTGCTGTTTGTTGGTGCATTCTGGGAAGATTTAGGCAGTTACCTGTAACACCTCAAGAGTGGGCAGATTGATTGGAGAACAGGCATATAGAGCAGCACCACCAATACCTGGGTAATGCACACGGGGATGTCCTATCACACAGACACCTGGAAGGGAGGAGGAGCAGCCAAACTGGTTGCAAAGGCAGAATAGCTAGGGGTGTTCCTGTCCAACCTGCAGAACGGCAGGTGTTACTAAGGGCA